ATTTCCTGACTTTTATATATATAGTTTTATATATAATAGCTCAACATCCGGCGCATAGATTAGCACATTTTGTGCAGACATGGTTTCCAGATGATGTAGTCTGTGACTTTTCATCTTGCACTATCATCTTCAATTGTGAGCATGCAAACATGCAAAACTATGATGTGTGTGACCATGGCAAACGTTACACCTGCTAAACATCAGCAAGTTAGCATGCTGACATAAGCATTTCGCTCAGTACAGTACGGCCTCACAGCAGCCAGCATGGCTGTAGACTCTTTAGTCGTGTTGTTATATGATAACAAGGTTTAAAAGTCAAATGACCAAATTGTTTGACAAAATATTTCCCTCCCTCTGCTGAAAGGTAACAAGTGACTCCACTCTTACTTGTCTGTTTGTGATGTTAGTGCTGCTGCTGCTGGTGGTGGTGGAACTATAAGATGATGTTTTCAGGGGTGGTTGTGGTTTGGATGTGGCTTTCACAGAGGGCGACACACTGCCCTGGTCGTCATCCAAGTCCCCCAGTAGTTCCACCCTGGCCCCTCCACCTCCTCCTCCGCAGGCCTCTGCTTCATCCTCCTCTACCTCCTTCTGCTGCCTCAGTGTCTCCACATGCCGCATCCTCCGCTTTTCATCCCGGACACGCAGCATCTCCACAAAGTCCAGCTGTACTTGCTCCACACTGATAATAAATAGTATTTATAAACACATGTGACCGCTATATATGATGGATAGTCTCTAGTGAAGGGTGAAAGGACCTATCAGTCCTACATTTGACCAGGTTTCTCTAATAAAAGGCTCTATAGTTCTCTCTCTAAGCAGCTGGTGGTGTTTTTGACAGTTTTTCATACTTTGCATGCATCAAAGAAGATATTAGCATCCCTTTGGCGTTCTGAACATACAAGAAACACACAAAAAGAAAGATGGAGGTAATAAATGAGGGGGACAGAAGAAGATAGAGATAGTAAAAAAAACAAAAACACGCAGAGAGAAAAAGAGCAGAGAACACAGCAACAGAATCATGTTTGGACAGTCCAGAAATCAAGCTTTGGCAAGTACGAATCAATAAATTCTTTATTAAATAACCTGCTGAGGCCCTGGGACATCTCACTTGTGGAGTCTGTCCCAAAGGTGCTGTCACTGGTGGGCGTATCTCTGGGTGTTTGGCTGAAGTCGCCATCGGAGTCGGCGGTGCTGCTTGAGCTCTTCACCCTCCTCCTCTTCTCCCTTTCCACCTCCTCCTCGTCCTCCATCGTCCACTGGCGCGCTAGGCTGAGTACAGCGGAGTCATAATGTGGGACGTGGATGTAAAACAGAAAATGAAACAGAGGCAAAAGATAAGAAAATGAAGACACACAAAATGGTGTCCAAAACTTGACATGAAAGTAAAACTCTCATAGAACCTATATAGAAATTAATCCAGTTTAAAAAAAGAGATTATGGTGCTAATAACGGTTATACAGAACCTGCTTTTCTTGTTCATCAACTATCCCTGAGGACAGTCACAGTTGGTTGTAACCTTTCAGTTTAGTATCGTGCATGATGTTTGTAGAATACACAGCATTTATTAGTCTATTGTCTTTTGTTTCCTCTGGGTGGACACATTCATTCAAGGGACTGATGAAATTATCAGATTATTTCTAAACTTTAACTCTAACTGTGACTCTATAGCATATTATTCAAACATCACAGTTAAGGTAGAAGTGCAAGTAATAACAATAATGACACCACAGAGACAGAAAATAGAATATTTTTTCATAAGGCTGTATTACTATTTCACTAGGCTACCTGCTCCAACTTCCTGAATGAATATTATAAACTTATTTTTGTTTAAGATAGACTGCTTGGCTTCAAGAGTGAAACCAGAGAGCTACTTTATATGCTAGTTCAGTACATAACTGTCAAGACGTTGCTGCAGATGGTGCCCATAGTCTCTTCTTTTTTCTTTTCTTTTTTAACTCAGAGACAGATAATCTTACCTGGACAAAGCCGACCAGTTCTTCCGACTGATGGACATATTAGAGGAAAAAAACTTAAAGTTCCCAGGTGCACTGCGCTCACAGACTGAAAACAGTCGACTGACTGGCACTCAGAGAGCGGCAGTCAAATTACAGTCAGTGCGGCACAAAGCAGTCCACCTTTACCCCGGTGCAGTTCACTGCGGAGTCACATGACCAAGAAGGTACGTTACCCACCTGAGAGAGAAAGAGAGAGAGCTTCTCCATGTATGGTGGAAATGTGGCCATAATGTGGCCATAACAGGCGTCTGCGATATATGCAAGGGCGTGGAACTTTGTAGGAACATGTCCCTACCATTATCCAGCGACTACTGAATTGTCCCTGGCAATAACTTTGATTAAAATGCGTTTTGAAAGATGATGCCCCCCCCCCCGTCATGTCTCACAGTGTTTTTTTCCGTTGCCTACTTTTTTCCGACCTCCCGTTGGGAGATGGTTTTATTGTGCCCATCAACAGAGATAAGAAATATCAGCCCTTAGCCAAATTATTTCAATAAACTGGATAGCCAGTAGGTGATTTTTAATGTCCACATCCAGTAGAAGAATATGCCTACTAAAAATACCCTATGTATTTAGCATTATAGCAGTTCTATTAACTCAAAATTACAATATAAATGCAATTACAACATCAAGAATTTGGCTACTAGGCATAGACCTACAGAACCAGTTTGGATGAATGCGGTCCCTCTTACGCTCTCTAGAGGAGCACAATAGCAGATAGAGTGAATGAAAAAGTGCTGCAGCAGCATGACGAGGCAGGGTCAGAATTAAACTGCTGTTCTCACTAAAAAAAATTTGTTGAATATAAAGAAGATTGCTGATCCCCCATTTTCAAGTTGAATTTTTATTTTACAATATAATGTAACAAGTAGGCCTATGCATTATTTCAGAGTTTAGTAAATGCCCCTAAAATCAGTTCAAGGGCAAAAAATTGTCTGATAGGAATGTTATCAGATTCAGAATCAGCTTCATCGCCAAGCAGATTTAGACATGACTAGGAATTGGCTTTGGTGCATAATAATAAACAACAAATAAATATAAATATTAAAATCTTAAATTGACTTGGTAAAAAAAAAAAAGAATAACAAAAACTATATAGGTGCAAGAATATGTGCAATGACAGTTTGTGCAGTGAATGCTAAATGTTTACATCAGAATCAGGTTTACACGTGACAAGCATTTACAGTGTACTGTAAAGGGGTCTGGGCCCTGTTGATAAGGCCAGCTGCAAATGGAAAAACTGAAACAGTTTGTCCATGGTGGGAGGGGTCAGCCACAATCTGTCTGCCTGATGTTCAGCTTCCACTTGAGTTCCTGGAGATGATAGTGCCCAGGAATCAAAAGGACCATGCAGGGAGCTTATTTTAACCCAAACCATGGTCTTTTCCTAAACCTAACCAAACGTTAACCACTAGTTTTATTTTGAGTCTAACCAGATGTTGCATAGTTATTCTTGTTAACATGACCACGGAGAAATGACGCTAAAGGGTACCCAGGGCTTTATGCAGTAGTAAAATAAAAAATAAAAATGTAACAATACTTTTCAAACTGGGTTTTGATGCCATGCCGGACAGCGAGTCTTTTTACAGTGTGTCAGATTGTTTGCTCTGCTGTGGGGGGCCACACCTTTTCCTGGAGCCCAGTGTGTCGGACTCTGACCGAGGCTCAGGCTCAGTCCAACATACACACCCTCCTCCCTCACCTGGCCATATACCAAACCTTTACCTGCTGCATTCTGTGCAGACCGCGAGGCAACAATAAACAGGATGAGCTACTATTATGATTAGAGATAAGGTGTAGCACTTGAGTCTTATCCAGATCCTTTGTTATTGTGTGTCTGGGCTAATATGAGCCTGCTCCGCTCATATTTGGAGAAGGCTGTCTTATAGCTTGTACCATTAAGATGCTATCATATGGAACTAGTTTGCTTGTCACTCCCTAGCCAAAGAAGCAAAGCATGCATCAGTGCTCTGTCAACACTGAAGACTGAATTGTATGTGTCCGTGTTGTAGTGTGCATGCAATGTGTTACACTGCTATGAGGAAAAACTGTATTTGGTAACATATGACTACTGCAGGATCTTTGCATCCACCTGGATAAGGCGATAATGATTAAAGCATCATTACGGAAGCACATTTCAGAGTGGCTTTATGAGCATGCAAAACAGACAGCAGCTAAAGAAGACTGTTTTACAGCCGTGGATGCTGGCATGGAGAGCTGGCAGACTGCAGAAATGTGCTCTCATGCAGAAGTGCCTCTGTGTGAGATTTTCTTGTAGTCTGAGTTTACGTTTGTCCATATGTTCCTTTTACCTTCCAGACAGCAGCCATGACTCTAGCAGCTCATTTTTCTGTGCTTTGGCACATGCTAACATTTGGTATTTTGCACCAAACACAAAGTACAGTTGAGGCTGATGAGGATGTCATTAGTTTTGTAGGTATTTGCTCATAAACCAAAGTATTGCGTAAACTGAAATTTTTAACTGATGATGATGATGATGATGATTATGATGAAAAGTCAGGGGATCACCAAAGTGATTACAATTCATTCTGAGTGGGATATAAATGTCCATACAAAATCTCATGGTAATCCAATCAGCAGTTGTGGGGATATTTCTGTCTGCACACAACAATGGTGGGTTGACAGACCGGCATTGCCATCCCTAGAACCCTGCCGCTAGCATGGTAAGTGCAACCATAAATGCCTGAACAAAGGTACAAAGGAAATTAAAGGGTTTAGGACCCATTTGAAAACGATGCCCAAATGTGCGCTCAATAAACAATGCCTTATTTAAGTGAATTATTTATGTATATATATATATATATATATATATATATATATATATATATATATATATATATATATATATATATATATATATTTATATATTTTATATATATATATATACATAAATAATTCACTTAAATAAGGCATTGTTTATTGTGCGCACATTTGGGCAGAAAAAAGCACAAAGAAATGTGATTAATTTAACCTTTTATTGCTTTGTTGAAATTCATGTAAATTCAGTGGATGAAGTGCAAATATCATTCTCTTACAGTTCACAAAACCACAGGCCATGCTTACAGTTCATCAGCGAGCAAGAACATCAAAGATGCAGTTTAATTGACCAGGTTCATATTATTACTGGCTACACTATCACTTGGCCTGCTGATTAAGTTACAACACTATCCACATTTGTCTCCTAGTGATATAAGCTTCATTTTTTTGCCATTGTTCTGCAAATATTTATAGAACGATACACATAGATAAAGTCATGTTTAACACCATATCAACGAACAACAAACAGATCAGTTGTTAAGGAAAGTGGAGAAAACCTTTTGGGAGACTGGGGGCATCTTCTCACCTCTACGGCAGGAGCATACGCAAGAATGACAGCATTACACAGACAGGCAGAAGCTACCAAAACAAAACAGGAAAACAAAACCGATTCACTGGGCAGGACCCTTAGCAGCATCAAACATCTTCTTCCTTCCCTCCATCCCTGACATGGCCTCCACATTCTTCCTCCAGTCGCTGTCCTCCACTGGCCTCTTCTGCAGACACATACAGTAGATAGTTAGATGGTGTAATAGATGGTATGAAAAAATGGAAAAAAGACAAGAGGCTGTGAGGTAGAGCAGGTTTAGAAAATCTTAATTTTATCGTTATTGTCATGTCTAAGCCTTTGAGACCCATATTGTCCCCTGGGAATTTCCTATGAGAACTGTATAACCTTACAAGTGTAACTGGTTTATGCCTCCTAACACACTTAAAGACACATGCGTCCATGCCAGCACACATGCACAGATACACACCAGCACCTGCTAATCAGCACATGTAAACACACACACACGCACACACATTCACACATACACATACTGACTGGTGAGCAGAACTGTTCACAAAAGCTTCTCTTCTTTGTACAATGGGATCATTGTCTTGTATGCCGTACCTCCTCTCTCACACACACACACGGTTTCCAGCCTGCACTGACCTACTGCTCAGTATCTCAAACACACCCTTCACACACACATAAAAACACGTTTCAGGTGTCCCATCGTACTTTAAGCACTTCATGTGTGTATCTGAAACTAGCTACCTTGCACACTTGCCCCAAAGGAAGGTACACTTCTTGTTTAAGCTGATTTGATTGTGTTCTGTGTGTATATGTAACCCCCTCCCCGCCCCTCTTCAACAAACACCTTCTCAGTGTCCTCTTTCTTGACAGATTTGAGGTTTGCCCGGAGGTCCATGGAGACTTTGTGCTTGGAGCCCAGCAGCGAGCGAAGGATGGCGTCAGCAGACACACGAACTCGTCGAAGATTAGGCCTCTTGAATTTCCCCCTGAGGTCCAACACCTTGATGTTCAGGTCTTTAATCTGGACCAAGGACAGATGATTGAACAGCAGTTACCATTGGTGCAGCATGATTTTCTCATGGTGGCAGTTCTGCTGCTTATAATGTCATTTTAATAAAAAAAAATAATTTCCAGTTCTGCCCATAGCGCATGGACATGGGCTGAGTAAGTAATGTATACCTCACGTGTGTTGAGCATGACTTTGGCTTCAATGTCATATCGCTCCTCATCCACCACATCTATCTTGACATGGAGCTCACGGCAGAGGTCCTATACATATACACACACATAAAACACACACACACAAAAGTTAAAAATATGTATTTTAGTGAAAATGATCATTTTGAATCCAGTTTACACCTGTCTCATTTTGTTGATTTCCAGAGCAACTTAAAGTCTGTGCATCTGCAACGGTCTCTGTTCTAGGCCATCATCTTTAGAAGCAATCTGAAGGAGCTATAGTACCATGGATTCCTTTGTTTTAAAATAATTTAAAGGTTTATTGGTTTTGGATGAAGAGGTGGAGGAAGCAGTTGTGCAAGAGAGCTATGTGGCTATGTGAGCTTGAAATGATTCAGGCTGAAAAAGGTCTCTGTTAGATGTTAAGATGTAGCTTCTTAAGCAGTAAAGCCAGTGGAGGGAGTGAAAAATGGCAAAGCTGTGGGAGAATTCAGGGAATTTGAGAACGAGTTACCTGTAGCTGCGCAAGGCTCAGGCCGCTGGTGTTCAGAGGAGGAGCTCTCTCTGCCAGATACTTCTGTTTCTCCTCCTCTTTAACCAGGACCTCCTGTTCTAGTTCCTCCTTGGCCTTTGCCACCATCAGACTCTGCACAAATAGGAATCAAATATGAAAATATAATTTGTGTCTAGATCAGTGGGATACCTTGCTGTACAGCAACTCAGGGCATGACCTTTGCTGCTCTCCTGTGGTCAAACACATGTACTGTGTTATAGTTTGGCAGAGAAAAAGGTCCATGATCTCTCTTACCTTGAGCATCAGCTTCCTTGAAGCCGAGATCTTTGGTTTCCTCTGGATGGAGAACATAATTCAGAGTATTGCCAACATGATTCAAATTTTATTACTTAACTTGCAGCATTTTTAGCATAAAGAATGTCTTCCATAACAGTCAGTGATAAAACGGTCTTACCTCTTGCCTGTGAAAGAAAAATGGACAAGATTTAAAGGAAAGGAAGGGAAAGATCAAATATGAGGCCTAAACAAAGCTCAGAAATATTTGTTTTTGTGTTTGAGTCTATGTCTGTGAATGGTCTATAATAAGAACACAAAGCCTGATCACTCACACATGCTCAGGCATCCTGTTGATGAGATCTCACTGGAGGAGAGACAGAAGAGATTAGAAACACACACTCACACACTGAACAGTTGTCAATGTTTGTCCATCAGCTTTTGTGAGGGCCAGATCATCTTGCCACACTTCTCTATGGGCAGTCAGTCAGAATGTTGAGTCTGTTTCAACGTATGTAAGCTGTCAGCAGGCCAATCATGCAAAACTCTGCACACTGACATCTATCCTGTGTGTTAAACATTAACAGGGCATAAGGTAAGCCTGCATTTAACGCTTTCTTAAGTATTTAAATGTGGCTTCTGCTTTTCATGGCTGACAAAACAAAACGTGTAACTTATCTGCATTAACACAGCAGGACATTCCAAATTGCATTGTTGTAGAAAAATTATAGTTTTGCCTGACTGGATTTCTTTGAGAACCTTTGACTGAGGAGAGTTCACCCAAATCGCGTAGCTCAACTAAATTTAAAAAATTTCCACAGTTCTCTAGGTTATAGTAATTAATATTGGATTTGCAAAAGTTATCAAAAAGTGGATAGAAAGTGCTGAAGTGGTAGAAGCCTGGTGGATAAATTGTTGAAATACAAAGCTAATGGAAATTTTGTATGTGGCGCATCAAAACTTTACATTAGAGAAACTCAGCAGCCTTTTCAAGAATCAGTGTCCCAGATTTTTTAAATAATTCTTAGACCTTACTGTGGACAGTTTTGCTTAATAAATATAGTCTACCAAATGTAAATGTATTATGAAAAAAAAAGTGTGTTAAACATTAACAGGGCATAAGGTGAGCCTGTATTTGAAGTCACTTAATTGGCCTTGTCAGCTCCTTCCCAATAATTTTGTTTCACCTTTGTCATCACATTATCCTACCCCTCCTCTCCCTCAGTCTCATGGCCTTCTGCCCTTTAACAAATCAACAAGCAATTTACAGGACTCACCCCTTCTCTGTCTCACCTCATCTCACCCTTTCTCTCTATATGTCCCTCACCCATTTTACTAGTTGGTCCCAGTTGAGAATGATGCCACTTAAGACCTCCCAGTATGATGGGGTTACAAGCTGCTCCAACGGATTAGGAAAATTCCAGACTGATAGCCATCTCTCATCCATTTCTCTGGTCTCTCATCCCCATCTTTCTCCTCAGGATTATCTTAGGGGGAGGAATTTAGAGTGGCCTGTCTCCCTAAATAGACCAGGGGACATCTGATAGACAGCTGTGGAGGGTGATTGTTCTCTGGGGTGCCCGGTCTGGATCAGGGATTTACCGCCAGTAACTCATGGATGCTTATGAGCCTCTGTGGTGCAGCCAACTTGGCAATACGAAAAACAGCCCAAGGTGCTTTGGAAAGTCCACGTCAGCCGCTGATTTGAGCAGTGGTGCTTTGGCCACAGATTTAAACCAAGTAGTTTGTGTTATTATAATTGATCGTCCTGGGTTTTGTACTTATGGTTTAGGTGCAGCCACAGCCCCAAGGATGAAACCAGGCTATTGACAAAATGGCATTAAAACACTTGATAGCTCTCTGCATCTGTGCTTGTATCACCGTTTACTGGATCGACATTATATACTGTACAGTACACTAATTCCCCTCAAAAATATGCAATCAGCACTTATAGATCTTTGTGAAGACAACTAAATATCCATCCATCCATCCATCGTCAACCGCTTATCCTGTTTACAGGGTCGCGGGGGGCTGGAGCCTATCCCAGCTGACATTGAGCGAAAGGCGGGGTACACCCTGGACAGGTCGCCAGTCCATCGCAGGGCCACACAACTAAAAATAATATTTCCATTGTATAAACCACTGTTTTTACATACCGATGTTTGAGAACTCGTATAAAGCCTACGGGGCTAATTTTCAACAAATAAATGGTTTCATCAAACAAATGTAGCTATTCAAACTGTCATCGATTAATTTTTCTACCCTAAAAATGGCTTAACACCACACCTGAAAAACTTTACAGACCACACCATGAAGGGACCTTACCAGAGTCAGAAGCAGGAGTGAGAAAGATGTGACAACAGCAGAGGCAGGATGGACAGATTGACTTTGTCGTCCCTCTATTTAACTGCACCTCCCATTGTCTCACTCTCTCTATCTATTTTGTTAGTGGAGGCTATTATTAGTCAACCCCATCTCTCTTACTGCCTAATCTTGCTCAGTCCATTTGTCTCTCCCACATTCATTACAAACCGGGGGCCAGCAGTTGGAGCCTGGAGCTTTGGCTCTCGCACGGCACAAGAGAATTAAGGCAACTCAGACGATAGGCAGGACTGTTTTATGTTTATACTGGTCAAAGATTGTCTGAGAAAGGAATTGAAACTAAATAACAAGGGTAAAAAAAGCTGCTACTGGGAAGTATTTCAGTTAGATGTGCTGGAAGAAAGACAGAGAGAGGAGTCCTCTATGTTGTTATTTGTTGCTTTGGTCTGCCATGAAATTTTGTAGGGAAACGAGGGAGGCTGATGTCTTTGATGATAACCTGACTTTTCCTGTAGCACAATCATCAGGTCAAATCTTAAATTTGACCTCTACTTTTCTGGTTTATGACAAAATACCTACAAAACTAATGACACACCACATACAGTGCCTAAGTGCAGCCAAAATTAATAACATTCCCATAAGCCTCACCTGTTCACTTTGTGTTTAGTTCTAGCAAATGGCAGCACGCTTACACGCTAAACTAAGATAACTAACTAGGATAACTAAGTTAACATAGCAAACAAATGAAAAGTATCCCCACCAAAAATCAGAACACAGAATTTGCACTTGCCAATACTTCCAGTTATTATGCTTTCTGATGCTATACCAGGTGTGTTTCCATCAGAAATATCTGTAAACAATGGGGTAGAAAAAAACTAAATTATCGATTGTAATGACCTGAGAAACCTTCAGTTCAAGGTGTATATCCAGTGTGTTGTTTTCCTATCTTGAACTGGGCTGTATATGTCATCGTACTTCAGCATATGTTGTGTTGTTGTTTGTTTCTCCATGATACTGACAGCTTATTGTTTTTAACACTGTGTACTGTGACATGGTAATGTGGTCACTACCATGAATGATCCATGACCATGATGACCAAGTACTGGTAGAATTTACAGTAGTATTGTACCTTTGGGGTAATGACCAAATTCCTATCATGCCGTTTTTATGTTACTGCGTTATTTTTTATTTGATGCTTGTGCTGACAATACTTTCTTTATGTTTCCAGAATTTATTTTGGGTTCTCTTTCTCACAATGTCTATTTTATGTCTCTAATTTCCATGCCCGTTTTCTTTTACTTTGAGATTTAACCTAAAATATAGTGATTTTAACATTCCAAGAGGAATATTGCCCATTGAAAATACGGAGGCTCACAAACCCAAGAAATCCAAGTATGACGCAATTCACACAGTGATATGGTATATCAGGCTTATACAGTACAGTGGATTGAGGAGAATAGAAACCAAAAGTAATAACACACACACATACACACAAAAACAAGTAAAAAATATCAAATACACAAACACCTTTGATGTCCAAAAGCACAGAGAAGCCTGACGGACACACACAAACCTAGCCAAATAACAGCGAACAGAGAAGTTATATTCACCTCAAAGGAGAGATAGACCTCTAGTGGTTTAACACTCACACAGCAGACAGCAGCTCCATTTGGTAAAGCCTGAGAGATGGCTGTCCTATTTGCTATTACATTAGTGTCAACATGAGGCAAACACTGTCCTCTTTTGAATAACAGTCTTTCAACTCTAGATCGGCCCCATGTGCTTTAACCAAGATTTTGGTTTATGAAATTGCAGGTCACTGTATGTGTGTGTTTATCCGCTGAAAAAACCAGATACCCTGGACAGAGGTTATGGTGTTTAGACAGGGCATTCCACGGAGGAGTGTGAGCACACAAACTCTGAAGGGACTGTACTTAGTGCACATCACCACCACCGAGCTCACAAACTCGCACTTCTCCGCAGATCTCTTTCACATACAGAATTCTGTGGATTTACACCTGCCTGCCCACACACACACACGCACTCACTTTTTAGACCAATGATCAATCACTGGGTGTCTCCACTCCTTGCAATGCTTCTGCCCCATTGCTGACTCATGCGGTGTGGCTAGCTTTGGGGTTTTCCACAGTAACAAGAGAAGTCCCTACACAATCAACCCTTTATTCCTGACCTGCACTGAGCTTCACAGCCGCACACAGACTGCTATATTCTTGACACACACACACACACTACATGCTTGAATGAACAATATATGCTAGGCCTCGCTAATGAGAGTCTGCTGATGCTGAGGCCTTCCTGAATTTCATGCTGGATGTGCACGTAAGCTCCTGTAGGTGAGTATGCGTGGGTGGATGTTTGCATGCCCATGCCTCAGGCTCACTGTGCTTCTCATTAGTTCTCCGCACTTCTCAGAACAAAAGATGTCCTGACTTCAGCATACACACATGCATGCAAGAGCAGGAGAGCAATGCCACTGTGTGTGTGTGTGTGTGTGTGTGTGTGTGTGTGTGTGTGTGTGTGTGTGTGTGTGTGTGTGTGTGTGTATTTTCCAGAGGCTATAACAGCAAGGTTACACCACAAACCCACTACACTGGAAACAGATGAGCATGGCAATTAATGGTCTGAACCTAAAATAAATTGCAGCTGACTTTTTAGCTCTGAGCTCCACTGTAGAGAACTGAAGCATTGTTCACAAATAGAAACTCAAGTGAAATATGTCAGCACTAACAAAAATTTATTTTTATCTTTGTAAGAGTGTAATACTGTACATGGTTTTAGCAAATATATAGAATACAGTGTGCAATGAATATGAGCAAAATGTTTATTCTTAATGTTCAGCTTTAGAAAAACATGCAGATGTGGTCCAGTCTATAGCAAAAGTTTTCAAAGCCAGTCGAACGGCGATGCGTTTCAATCAACAGCAAGACTGAAGAAACAAAGTGAATGCTGTTTCAGCAACGTTAGAAAACTTCGGGAAATGACGTCCAGAATAGAAGATATTTTTGAAACATCAAGGCACAAGGGGTAAACAGTGTCCCAGCTCCACAGATTTTGTACAAATAACGCCATCTTTTCCTTGTGCAGCGGTGTCCACAATGACCTCAAGCAATGAGGTCATGACAGAAAACCACTTTCACCCATGCTTGCAGTACATCAGACTCCTAGGCTTTGTATGACAGCGTGAAAAACCTCATGTAGGAAGACAAAAAGAGTGTGCGTGACACTTGCTCTCAGTCCTTTAATCCATATTCGCTGATGGCCGCTCTCTGTACATCTCATCATGCTGTGCACCGCAGAATAAAGCTGATGGTCTGGCATCCTCTACCCTTTCTCCACTCTGATTGGTTCACTCCTAAGAAGTAGGAGACAGAAAAGCAGATATGTAATGTTCACTTTATATATTTATATATATATTTGACACTGGGGCAGCTGATTGTGTTCTACAAAGTGCATTTGTAGTGAGTTACATTACACTGTTACCACGGCTACTAAGTTAATTTGGGCACTTGACTACCGCAGCTCTCTTAAGGAAGCATCGCTGTGGATTCCTGGGCTGTGAGCTCATAGTTCAGACTTACACACTCAGTTCACGAGCATTTGAGATTTCAGTGACCAGTTTCAGGAAATAACACTGTTGTCGTGTGATGGCACTGATTGTGTCCTAGCTGAAAAGATGTATGGGACGCTTAGCTCTGGTCACCCCAAATGTCCAATTGCCTTTGTGTCAGTTAAATATATAAGAGAAGGTTGTATGTTTATGTTTGTGTGTGTGTTTAAAAATACTTGGCTGCCTAGTGAGGGAGAGGCAGGCAGATGTTATTTTGGAGGCTCACATTGCATCGTAATTGCGTCCTCAAGTGAGAGTGTGTTTGTGTCCTAAGAAGACTGTGGCGCAGTACAGGCCAATGACCATAGTAAGAAAAAACTGACATGACTTTGATTCTACAGTCTACAATACAAATACTGAAGTGGCACTTGCAAATAACCTTTAGCACAAGCTTAGCTTGAGTGTTTCTCAGCCATGTGCCACCTCATCCCCAAGAGTCTGGATGTGTTCATTCTATCCAATCACTGCACCAGCAACAACTATTAACACCTCTTCATAGTATCACATTATCAGTGAAGTCAGTGGCTGATTGGAGACTTTTGGGTTTTTAATGGCAAATGGTTGAAAACCTCTAGCTGGGTGGAGAAAAAAACACAGCAAATTATGATTTGTACCTATGATTAGATTTGATTTGAGACACAATTGGTACTGGGAGTAATCCTGAGACATTCTAGCTATGGGATGGTGTGGTTCCACACTGCCCCCAAACAAACAAAACAATTAATTCATATTTTAGCCTATGAGAGCCTTCTCAGACATTTTAGCTAAATTTTTATTACAGCCGCAGTTTCTTTCACCTCCACCAGAGGAAGACTTACCCTTCCCAGGTCAGAGCTCCTCATCCTCCCCAGTGCTGCCCAGGTGTGCTGTGGACAGGTGCCTGTTCCGTCCTGTTTGCACGGCCTGCAGGTTCTTATAGCGCACCAATGCCAAAGCAATCTCCGCGTTCCAAGCCGTGCCGTCCTGCGGACACCGAAAGTCAATCTCCTTCCCCGTAGCCATGACTACGGTGAAGTACACCAGCCCCCGCTTGTACTCCACGCAGTCCACCGTGGCCATGCGCTCAAAGCGGAGCTCCTTGGCTTTGGAGCTCCACGCCGAGCTCGGGGCATCGTCGCCGCCGCCTTTGCAGTTGTGTAGACGCAGCCCTTCCTCGGTGAGCACGCAGCGTTTCTTCTTCCACAGCTGGAGGAGCCCGCTGCTGCGCTTCTCCAGCAGCCCGTCCCTCATCACTTTAGCCGGGAGAGACATGGCCACGCTGAGCCGGAGTCTTCAGACAGAGCCGAAACTTAAAATATCTTCAGTAGTAGTGCGTCTCAAGATGAATCCATTAACTACACATCTAATATGTTACTGTATGACAAGTGGCCCTTTGGGAATAGTCTAGGCCTACATATCGGTTTGAACTATGTCATTACTACTAGGCCTAATAGCTGATGCAAAATCTCTCATATAGTCTAGTCTATGTGTAAATCCTACCCGTGCGTTATGACAGCACACCGTGGAGGTTGGTAGGCTGGTCTGCCTGGATATGTTTGAACATGCCCGGCTCCTCTGTGGACCTTCTCCCCCTTCAACTAGCACCCCGCCTCCTCCTGGTGACGGCAGAGGAGATCCGGGCTGTGTGTGTGCGTGTGTCAAGTGTGTGAGTCTGCGAGTGCACGTAGACAGTTGGATTTCACGCTCTGCCTGGTGTTTGTGTGTTCACAGAAATACAGGTAGGCGGTGGGTGTAGCCACTTCCCACTTAGGTCGCAGTGCACATGTGTACAAAAACCTGGCACACACAGGCCTGTTTAGTTAAAAAACAAAATCAAATCAGGCCGCCCTTTTAACTTCCTAAAACTTCTCTCTTGTCTCTCTTGGAGAGCTGGAATGTGAGTGGGAGGAAAAGGGTGGATAAAGAAGTCAAATGTTGTGTGTCAGAGAGAAACAAAGTGTCAGCAGATAGAGCGGATGATTCCATTATTTCATTGATTTAGTCCATTTGCAACATGTGCTATAGCAATTTTTAGTTCTATATTATATTTACACCTCCTGAAATAATAGTAGGTGTGTCTCAAACCAGTGAACAGCAACTGAATGTAATGATTTAAAAGAAGTGGAGAAACTGGTTAGATTTTCATAACAAACTTCAAAGTCCTGCTGATTCCTCTTAGGTTTCACTTCACTTTACTGCCATTAACCTCATAAAGGGAAAGCTTTATTATGGAATTAAAGAAATAAAAAAAACATTTGTAATGCTTCTCATCACTGACAGTAAAATAGCAATGTGACAGATGAACTTTGTGGAGTGAAGCTGTAATTACCCCAACCTTTGAAGATTCTGCGCTTATCGTCTCAGCAATGTGCTCTGTCACTGCAATGTTATGAGAGGAATGGATACAATGGACATGTGGCATTTTGTTGAAACTTAAAACACAGAACATCACCCTTTGAACTGCTTTCTTTCCCATTCATTTCGCGCGCACACACACACACACACACATAGTTTCACTCCCACAGTTTCACTCACATTTTATTACGTCATTTCTTTGCACCAACTAAGGAAAACTGACACCAAAATTATTGTCTTTCAATTTTATTTAATATCATGCTGTCTGGAAAGCATAACATATGAACAAGCAGCATTTACTCTATTACACAGATTATTGTTAATGTGATACTGAGATTTAATTTGCGCAGAGAGAAACAGCCTCACAATAAGAAGAGGATAAGGAAGGATCTGTTTTTTTCTGTCACTCTGGTACCATTCACACGGTAATATTTTGCCACTCTTAGTCAGTCGTTTTTCACAACTATAAGTACATCTGACATTGACTTAGTCTAACAAAAATAAAATACCTTTTACTATCACTCAGCTCATTGTTCCTAATTGATCATGGCCGAAGCCTTTGCTTAATGTAGGCCTAAGTATTGCTTCATTTGCCTGATATGTTTGGATTCAAAACTTCAGAATCACCAGGTGTGAGATTTTTACTGTATGTGACCTCAGTGGGATTAAAACCCACAACCTTAGTGCTAGTAACTCAGTGCTCTAACAAACAGAGCCACAAAGGACCACTGCAATGATTACTGTATGTACAAAACAATACTGTAAAAATACACTACATAATTAAAATCCATAATTGTTATAGTTGTTACATTTAGATTAGACAAAAACTATATGCTGCATTATTGTAAAATACAGCAAAAGTTTGTTTCTTGTATCAATGATTGAAGAAGATATCTTCATTGATCACTAATTGATTACAAATAGGATAAATGTTATGGAATGATAGATTCTGTAAATATTGGGTAATGTAAGTCTTTTGCCTAATGTAAAAACTGTGTACTGTCTTTTACAGTATTGTAGCATATACTTTCAGCACTTCTAAGATGATTTACATACATGTAGCCTATTTTGCAATGTTTGTTATTGGATTCACTGATAGATAAAACGACTAAACTGAAAAGATATTGTGTTGTGTTTCGGTGATTAAAATGTTCTCATGACATTTCACGAAAAACTTATACATTGAATCAATGGTTGTGTGGTGAGAGATGTTTACAATCCAAATGAATGACCAATCACGAGTTTTGAATGAGTTTAGAGTTTTGTACTAAGAGTTGTGAAATTTTACCACATATTTATAATAATGAAAAAACTGGATCGCTTTGAAACTATTATTGCTAGTATGTGGTAAAAGTTCACAACTCTTAGTACAAAACTATAAACTCATCACACTTGTAACACAGCCAGTCTTTCATTCAAACCTCACAACCATTGATTAGAAATAGAAGTTTCTCGTACAATGTCATGAAAACATATGGTTTAATCACCAAAACACAACATAATTATATCTTTTCAGTTTAGTCCTTTTATCTACCAGTGAATCCAATAACAAACAATGTAAGATACATGTTTCAAATCACCCAGCAGAAGTGCTGAAAGTAGTATGCTACAGTATACTGTAAAAGAAGTTTTCACATTAGGAAATACACTTACATTACCCAACAATTACAGAAATCATCATTTCCATATGTAATCAAGTTGTGATCAATGAAGACATCCTCTACAATCACTGATGCAAGAAACAAACATTTACTGTATTTAACTGTATTGCAACACATAGTTTGTCTAATCAAATGTAACTCTGAGCCTGTCCTCTCTGACGAGGGCCTTCCCTACGTCTCTGAGCACAAGCGCTCTGATCAATTTCACTGTCTTGCTGTCTATTCTGCTCCTTGTTGAAAGGAATTGCTAGTGTCCACACCCTTTACACAGTCAATGGTTACCAACTGAGTTTACCACCACGGGAAATTAGCAATGTAATTATGGATGGTAATCATGTAGTGTATTTTACAGTACTGTATTATACATACTGCAATCATTGCAGTGGTCCTTTGTGGCTCTGTTTGTTACATTGAGCAATAAGCTACTTGCACTAAGGTTGTATGTTTGAATCCCCCTGAGGTCACATACAGTTAAAATCTCACGCCTTAGAGTGGTGAATCTGAAGTTTTGAACCTGGATATATCAGGCAAATAAAACAACAATACATACATGTATATTAAGCAAATGGTTCAGTGATGATCATTTAGGATCAATGACCATTGTGATGGTAAAAGGTATTTTAACAATAGAGAAGAAAATCTTAACAAACATTCTGCATGTATTTTGTATGAACATGATTTATTGAAATGCGAAACATGTCTTTCTACATGTTTTTGTTGAAGTGGATCAGTGTCAGATGTACTTGTTTGGTCCTTTTTGATGTTTCTGTTGTGTTTTTTGTACCAAGTTTTTTGAAATATTACCACAGTTGTGTGCAGAGTAGGCTACCATAGCGACAGAAAAAACTGTAATAATAGCAACAAAGTGATCAACAAAAACTGAAAAATTCAGTCAGAGCAAATCAACAATGCATCGTTAAACAGATGTTTCAGTATTAAGTGTGGATTGGCCTATGTAGCATGATTTACTGTAACAGCACTAGTAATCAGATTTGGCCTCAATGAGACTAAACTGGTGTTATATTTTCCACTGTACAATATATAATGCAGCTTTGTATCAAGCGTGTGTCTGCCAGGTGAATGTTTCCTGGCAGCAGCCTGCCCTCTGCAGGAAGAAGACAGGAGTGCAGCATACTGGAAACCTGGAGCTCAGTGGTCTCTATTGAGTGTGCGCCAGCGCTCCAGCCCCAAGGCCGTATCCAAATCCCTTGGGACCAAAGTTTTTGCCGTAACAGGCTGTTGGGAAGAAAGGTAATGTCAAAAAACAAAACAAACTCCACGCCACGTATTAGCATCATATCCTTCACTTAACCACAGTTAGTGACTCGCGTGTGTTAGCATTCGAGTCAAAGCTAAGTTAGCTATTCACGTTTGCCCCATCTGGGACCTCAGCAGGGGGGATATCAACACTTATTATCTGGGAGCTGGTGTTCAGAGGAGTTTTTGTGATTTTAAGAGAGGCCAGACATAGTTGGGGAGAAAAAGGGGAAAAGAGGGTTTTTATTGATATGATTTAGGCAAACTGGGACACACTGTTTTGTTTCTAGTTCGTTGTTTGTAGTATTTCCTCAAAACCACATGAGATGATGGAAAAATCAGCAATGTTGTAACTTCATCAGTGGCAGGCCCCTTGCAAACATTTTTTCTTTCCGGTAAAGGCAAAGACAGAAAACATTTTTAAGATCATAAGAATGTATTTAAAGATATAACTGCTGGATGACAGGTAAAAAAAAAACACGTTGGGAACACGGTGTGACTGGCTCACAGTGATGAGGTCACAAATGGGGATAATGTTAGCTAGCTAAGCATCTTCATTTCTCTAAAAGAAACAAGAAATATTTGTTATTGTGCAGCGAACAGGATATCAGTAACAGGAAAAGCACAGGTTGTTCTACTAACATTAAGGATGGCTCTGTTCCATTAAGCACTTAATGGGAAGCCACTCCATTGAGCCAGCATGTACTATATTTAACCCTGGAACTGGCTCACCCAAATGGAGCACAGCCACCATTAATGTTATTAATTACACTTGTGCTTTGACATGTCAAACAGGTCTATACTCGAGTGTAATGATAAACACAAGTGAGGCACAAACTAGGGCTAAGTTAAGCAAACGTTAGGGGGAAATATACCCTTTAGAACTGTTAACAAGTTGCACCTTCAAAGGTATTTCTTGCATTTTCTAAATCTCTATTGTCTCCCTTGAAATTTAAAATGCTTGACTGAGCTGTATTTTTTTTTATCCAGTCAATGGGTGCAACTAACAACTGCCTGCCATAGGCTAGCTTAACGTTAGCACTGGCAAAGAGTCTGGAAATATTTGATTTAAACATTGTTTTTACCCCGTGGAGACATTTTTATCATTCTGATTGTTGACATGCATGACACAAAAAATATTTGAGAATGCAAGTCAACAGATAGAAGCTGAGGAAATTATGTTTTGTCCATTAAAAAAAAACAACCCAACTCTGGTATATTCTCATCATTGGTCAGGTGGCAGCAACACTGCATGCCATGTAAGGTAGAGATGTGCATTCCAAAATGCTGAGAAATGATGAGTGCTGAGATAAAATGGCCAGTGTGTTCTCAATTCAATATAT